CGCGTCTGAAGAAAAGAAGTAGGTAATGTAATCTGTGCTATAGTTTTGGCTTGGTTGTGCCTAGTTCTCGAAGGGTGAAACTCACCAAAGCATGGCTCTCCGACAACTAACTTTGTGTGACGTCACAGGATATGTATCCTTTGAAGGATAAAGTATACTCATATAAATATGAGACCAATTAAAATGCACTTAAGGTTAATATCCAATTGCAGTATAAAAATATCCGCTAATTACATTCGACCTTCATGCAATGCGGGTGTATTTTTTGTGCAATTTTCTCGACGTATGTACATGAACATAATTATGAAGGCTTATTAGTATTTTTTTCTCAGTTTTAAACAACCCTGGATATAAGATGACTATGCAGTATTTATTATAGCGCCTTCGATTGAGTCTGATGATGGGATGGGAGCTGGCTGAAGGATGAAGCCATCAACTGCCTTGTAATCATACCTAGTTTGGGCCCATTACAGTTTTTTTATGTGATAGATCGGCAAACGAGCAGTCTGATTACCTGGTAGTAAGCAATTAGCGCCGCCCATGGTAACCCGCAACAACCGAGAAGTTACAATTGCGTTGCCGAACTTTTGGGGATTTTCCAAATCCCTAGATTTGGAAATTTAGGGATTGGGGGAGGAGCAGATTGGGCCTCCAGTAACCTCATTAACACGACGCTGTGATTTTTTAATATCGGTTTTGTGTGAGGCCGTGGTATCACTCTGGTTGAGCCGATCCATTCGTGCCGAAGCATGGCTCTCCCATACTTGACACAATCATGTTTAAATCTCGTGATGATGAGGAGAAAACAGATTAAAAACGTGTTTTAGTTTATATATAAACTGGGCTTACATGCGCGGTTTCATTCGCTGCTCTTATAGACCATAAGGTGATTTTTATAGCTTCATTGCCTTCCTATACAAATGGATTACCCGACAAAAAAAAAAATCCGAAACGAACCGGTAGTTCCGAAGATGAGCGCGATTAAACAAATTCTGCAGCTTTATTATAATTAAAGTTATGAGTGTACTATAAATACAATTTTGTTGTCGATTATTTTAATAATTAATGTAATTTTTTCACATTTTCGCTGTGTATTTTTAAGTATTATGTCTACTAAAAACTATATAATTACTCGTTAGTTATCTACCTACAACGCCATGTAGCTACGTAAATTAATAGAAAAATTACTTAAATTGAGGTAAGCATCTTCCTAACTACACTTAATTGCCAAAAAGTCATAAGTCAAATAATTTATTTCAATTATTACCTATATCGCTAAAGGACGTCAAATAAAGGCTTAAAGTTATCAAAAAACATCTGTTTGTCGGTTATTCCTTTTAGTAACGATGGGTTTGTGGGTATAAATCGGTTACTTCCTCTCACCCTTCCAGGGCAGGAGAAGTAAATAGATGATTTTTCCACATGAAAGAGAGTCATGCTTTGTCAAAAATGGACCGGCTCGATACGGCCACAACAAAGAGTTATTATTTTAGTTTTATTATTTGTTTTTTCTATAATATTATTAATTATTAGTCCAAATATTATTAGAATTTTATTAGGTTGAGATGGATTAGGTTTAGTTTCTTATTGTTTAGTAATTTATAAGTGCACTTTTCGAAGGTAAAAGATTTGGGAATAGAGAAATAAGGTTGAAGACTATATGCAGGCTTGGGTCTCTTTCCAGCGAAACACAACGCAAGCATGATTTCTCGCGCAAGTGCGGATGTGCGGGCAGCGAGCAAGGGTAGGTCGCCACCACCAGACCTATTAGAGCGTTAGCGCGTCGCGTTGCGCGCGCGTCTCTAAGAGCCAATAGACCACCACAGACTGGGCCCTATAGGGCCCATGTTCAGCCAGGGTTAGGAGCCAGTGTTAGCAGCAAAGCAGGAGAAGGAACACGGGACTTTTAGTCAGTAAGCGTCAGACAAAAGTCATTTGACGATTTTGCCGTCACAAAATAAGCATGATTTCACGCCGGTTTTCTGTGGGGGTGTAACTCCGTTTGGTCGTTTGCTTTACTTTGCCAAAAAACACGTTTACGTTTTCACGTTAAAAAAACAAGGAAAAAGAGTTTATTTTCGGAGAATAACAAATTCGAGGTTATCTTACGTAACTACATTGATATTATCCGTAGCAATGAATAATGCCGGTGAATGTTCCAACTATTATCAACTAACTATTATTCAAACTTCTTTTTCTTCCTCTCTCTTTTATATTTATTTATATTCTCTCTCTTTTATATTTATATCTCTTTTATATTTATTTATATTCTAACTTCTTTCTCTTTCTCTCACATTGTTTCTAACCCAAAAATAATACCTGTGCACATAATTACAATAGAATCTATTAAATAAAGAAATGGAATATACTGAAATATAATAATTAACAAGAGTGGGAGAAACATGCTTGCAGAATGGCCTATTGGAATATCAGCGTGAAACAACGATAGCGTTGGGTTTTGTCAGTAGCCGTGTAAGTGATATTAATCTTTTTTTTATGTAAGTGTTCGACAAACGAGCCGACGGATTACCTGATGGTAAGCAATCAGCGCCGCCCATGGACACCCGCAACGGAGGAGTTACGAGTGCGTTGCCGACCTTTTAAGGATTAGGGATTTGGAGACTCAGGAATCGAGGAGGGATTGGGTGAGGGGAAGGATTGGGCCTCCGGTAACCTCACTCTCACGACGAAACACAACGCTGTGGTTGTTTCACGCCATTTTTCTGTGAGGCCGTGGTATCACTCCGGTCGAGCCGACCCATTCGTGCCGAAGCATGGCTCTCCCACACTTAATCTATACTAATATTATAAAGAGGTAAAATTTGTAAGTTTGTATGTAGGGGGTAATCTTTGGAAACGCTGGTCGGATTTCCAAAATTCTTTCACTGATAGATAGCTACAATGTTCCTGAGTACTGTAGGTTATAAAACATCACGCTACGATTAAATGGAGCCTCGCAGCGGGTGAAACCGCGCGAGAGTAGCTAGTGGAAGATATTTTAACTGCATAGTTGGAGTTGCTGCAGTCCGTTGCTATGCAACGTGACAGACAGACAGTTATTATTACAGACAATTATTTTTGTGTTCCAGATATTATTGTTCCGAGTCTAGGTGTAATGTGTATGCTTGTTGTCAAATATACTTCCAATACAGGAGAAAATACTAGTGTAGGGGTCTAATATTGGTTTTGTTAAAGTATTTCTAAAAAACCGTTTGAAATATAAATTTTATCAAACTAGACTACCTAAGTACCTACTGATTTACTACAGCTAACATTTTTTTCTTGACACCTTATTCTACATTTATCAACATTATTATCATCTTCAGATATTATACATGCCAATATAGGCAACTCGGAAAAAGTCACATTGGTACTTGCCAGGTTACGAAACCCGCACGGATGAGAATCGGGCGCCTTAACCTCCGTGCCACCACGACATTATATTCTACAATAACATTAAAAAACAGACACAATAGAAAACAATAAAACATTTGAAATACTTCACACGTGAACTTTAATGTTCAAGGTCGGTGTTGCGGAATCCCCAAACGTACTGTCACATGACTAAGGCCGCAGACGCAGTGAAATGAATGAGATTCTAACCTACAATTCGTTCTAAATTAAACTCCAACGTTTATTTTTAATACGTCTGCAAGATGGCGCCTCGACCTTTCACTGAAGTTCCTAGTTTTTACACGACTGTCCAAAAAAAGTGTTATGTTTTTTTTTTATTAGTTCCTTAGAAATTTTTGTATAACATATATTTATTAAATTTTGTTTATTTTTATGCAATAGTTTTTATGTTTTTATGTAAAATACGATTTAAAATATCGCGATTTAATATTCGAATTTTATGCTAAGCAGTGACGTAAAGAATTTTAAACTTTAACTCGTTATTCTAAGTATTGTTTTCGTATACACTAAAATAAATAAGAAAGTACGAATGTATCTAGTAGTTTTTTTTCATTACCTTTCAGTAACTTTTAAACTTTGTCATTACCTATTCCTTTTAGGATTAATTTTCGTTAATAGAACTGAAAGCAGTTCCCTACACACGTAGGTACGTAGGAATTAAATGCCGAATGATTGTTAAATTCTTATACATTTAACATACTTAGCTTTGCTTTTAAATATTTAGGTAACAAAAATCAATAAATCAATTATCAAAAACCAAACTAACCTAATGTTTGTCTTACTTTCCTGTCTTCACGCCTAAACTACTGAATATATTTCTGTGAAATTTGGTACAGACATATTTTGGAACTCGAGAAAGGACGTAGGATAGGTTTTAAACCAAAAATCTGTAGGAAGTCACTATTTCACGCGAACAAAGTCGTGGGTAAAAGCTAGTAAATACATATAAATAAGTAGGTACGTCTATTATTATTACAATGCAACCTTTTACATTTACACATTTATAAAACCCTTTACATGAAAATCATAATATAACAAAACTACCAGAAAATCACATGTCATATTGTAAACTTTTTGTAACATAAATAAAGGATTTAATTAATTAATTATTTATTTTTTATTGTAATACGTTAGTTAGTTACCTATATCATATGTTACGCCAACATTTTCGGCGTAATAAAAGTTACTACAAAAATAACGTAAATAGTAATATATTTCAATAAACTATATAATTATCTACCTATTTGAATTTCCATTGTTATAATAATTAATATGTTTAATCGTAAATGCAATTGTATATCAATATTAGACTGATTTAGCAACATTAACTTACTTTCCTTGTTCATTCCTTATGTTTTCCTCTACATAGCGATCTCTTTAATAAAATACAATTTTAATCTGGATGGAATTTGGCACACAGAGAATACAGTCTGGAATAACCTATTGGCTTAATTTTTATCTCAATAACACGTGCGAAGCTGTTATTAGAAGCTAGTTTTGAATAGAACAAGTTGTTAAATTTCAAGAGAAGTAGAGAACCTTTTATGACGTCAAAATGATGACAAAATATAGCAAAATGTTCTCACCTGTCATGAAAATCATTGTAATGCACTATATCCAACTGATACAAGTCATTCCCCCGCAAAACATGAGAACTGACCGCCAACAAACACAAACACAACAAATAACTATAAAACGCAAACATTTATAAATATTTAAATAAAAATAAAAATTGAAAAAAACTAAAACTAAAAAAAAAACTTTAGTTTAAAATTTAAAAATAATGTCTATTTTTTACTTTCCGCGACGACATTCGCTATTCGGTGTTTAAATAAGACTGCACGGCCAATCTACGTTTTGCCCACTACTCTAATCTGTAAACATAAATGAATGTGTAATATTCTTTTGTGAATTTTAACCTTATCACTTCTTGCATAAGGTTTAATTAAAATTGATAACTTGTTTTGTAACTGTACCACTGCAGTTTTGTAATTTTCGACATACTTGAACTTGTAGAATTATTGATTTAACTACTTTTTATGAAAACAAAGCATTGTTCAACTAGTTAGGTAATGATGGCAATTTCATAATTTATATTTAAATTTATACATTTTTGTGGTTTTATGTTAATTAGAGTTTATCTATTAAAATATTTAAAACGAAAACATAAAAATAAGATCATTAGTTAAACATGTCCGTATGACGCGAAAGTTAGTATGAGAGGTATGCCAAATGGCTAAATATAAATTCTGGCATTGGTACAAAAAGTAGTATCTTATACATATACATATACATAAATAAAATATCATACACATATTCTTAAACTGACTCTAGCGCGAAATTTAAATTTATTATAAAAATACAAATAATATTTTGAATTAAGAATGATGTCACGCATAATAAATGTTAAAATAATTTATAATTTAAAATTATAATTATAAAAAAAATAAAAAATATAATTTAAAATTTTAATTATAAAAAAAATAAAAAAGTATAATAATTTAAAAAATGTCTACGAAAATATAAATACGATGCGTCCTATAAATTTTATTTTACATCATTTAAAAATTAAAATCTAAATTATTATTTACAAAAAAAAATACAATTTTAATTTACGCTATGTATACCTAACAATTTAAGTAAAAATTATAAAACATATTTTATTTTAAACATTCAATTACTTTTAGAAAATGAAAGTTAAATAAAAATTCTAAATGCTAAAAGATGCCTTTTCACTTTTCACCGTCTGTTAACGATGCAGTAGCAATGTTCAAAACTAACAATCGTGACCACAATATTGATTTCGTCTCTCAATTGTGTGCAAAATTCTCCAATTTATGTATACTTATTTAGAAATATATATGTTCAAACACCATAATAGTATTATTATAATTAAGCTAGTAGGAACGTGTAGGAGAGCCATGGGTCGACTCAACCGGAGTGATATCGCGGCCTAACAGAAAACCAGCGTGAAACAATAATGGCTTTGTGTTCCACTATGTAAATTAGGTTAGAGGAATCCCAATTCTCCCTCCACCCCAAATCCCCAATCTCTAAATTTCCGAAAGCCTAATCCCCAAAAGGCCGATAACGCGCTCGTAACCTGTGTCCTTGGATACTTACGATCAGGGAATCCGTCTGATCTTCTTCGCACGCGGCTTCGCACGTGTACAATGTTGAAACAATTTTTTTCTAGTATTTAATAATTATTACTATACATATAAACCTTACTCATAAAAGCTCTATCGATTAAAAAAACGGCATCAAAATCTGTTTCATTGTTTTAAAGATTTAAGCAAACATAGGGACAGAGAAAGCGACTTTGTTTTTAACTATGTAGTGACCTAGGTTTTTTTTGTTAGGGGAAAATCATCAAATGTCTTCTCCCGCCCAGGGCAGGGCGGGAGGGAGTGTCAGTCTCTTACTGACTAAAAACCCCCCCGTCCCTTCTCCTGTTCTTGGCCGAGGTCGCGGTGCCTCATCGCGCTAACCCCGCAACCCCGGCTAGCGATACCTAGGTTTGTTAAAGAAGGAAGGACCAGGATACCACAGATGGGGGTAGCTAATACAAGTACCTACATGAACATACCGGAGCAGTAAGAGTCTGACACTCCCTCTTGCTGAGGATCCAGGACCTGGATGAGGTCCAGGGCGGTAGCAAGTCATTGAAAGATTCGATGGCGTTCGTTTGGGGATTGACGAATTATTAATTGATTGATAAAGAAAAAGCTTCATCATCATCAGCCTATAAGTGCCCACTGTCGAGCAAAAGCCTCTTCTCATACGGAGAAGGTTAGAGCATTAATCACCACGCTTGCTCAATGCGGGTTGGCGATTTCAATAGAAATTATAAGTCCAGGGATCCTCACGATGTTTACCTTCACCGTATGTCAGTGGTGTCTAAATAATCATAGAAAGTACATATAACTCGGAAAAAGTCACATTGGTACTTGTCAGGTTTCGAGCCAACACCCTCATGCATGAAAAGCGGGCTGCTTAGCCTCCGGGCCACCACTACATTATAAAAAAAGCTTACTTCAGTATTAATCTACAATACTTGTAATACTCAATTACCACTAAATACTTTTACTACCAACATCTACATCAGCGATTTCTAACTGACACACGAGACTGTACATCTCCTGAGCCAAGTGAAAGTGAGCAAGCGAGCAACTTGAGTTTTTTTTTGATGTACAACTGACGTAACGCCGTGCTATGTTGTAACGCCTTTCAGTTACCGTTGATAACCAGTTCTTAATGGATATTTATTTTCATATTAATGGCAATAAAAATGCTTCTTAGATACCTGTTTTTGGTCAGCCGGGGTTGCGGGTCAACCGCGATAATGAACCGCGACCTTGGCTTGGAGCGAGAAGATTGTTGTGGTTTTTAGTCAGTAAAAATGTCTGGCTCTCCCTCTTGCCCTCATCCAAGGCAGAAGAAGTCTTCATGATGGTCACTCCTTCAAAAAGTAGGTATCTACATGTATTTTTGACATTTTCCGATTTTATAAATTCTTTTTTAAGAAATTAGCCGTAATCCCATACCCTAGACTACCCAATCGTATATGTTCTCTGGTGTTGAAGGACCAATGTACATATGCAGCAGCGATGGATTACCACCAGGTATCACCCATCGAGTCTGTTAGAGGCATAAAAAACCGCGAAAAAGGTGAAGTCAAGTAATTATTTTATCATACTATCATTATAACATATTGTCGGTAAAATTAAATTGATAAAATCTCATTAAATCAAACCTTTTATTATTTTATACTCATTATATGAATTAGAAAATGTCATAACCTAGTAGGTATACCGAATCAAAAAGAAGAGAAAAACCTTATAATACCCTATAATGCAAACAATCTAGAGACGAAAATCCTACATACTCACTGCAATCAATCAAAAATTCCTTGGTACAAAAATAACTGCATTTCTAATTTTAAATGGTTTTACATTCTCCATTTTCAAATCTATTGTTCGACTACGTTCAGCCTTGAGTCTATATTGGCAATTTTAGACTAATGCCCCTTAGACCGTAACGAAATCATCAGCAAAAAATATTTGTCTATTTCAGTACTTGAGTTTTATATTCTAACCAGTTATATTCATTTGTCTTTTTATTATATCATCATCAGCCCATAAGTGCCCACTGCTGAGCAAAGGCCTCTTCTCACACGGAAAAGGTTTGAGCATTAATCACCACGCTTACTCAATGCGGGTTGGCGATTTCAAACTTATAATTAGAATGTATAAGTCCAGGTTTCCTCACGATGTTTACCTTCACCGTATGCCAGTTGTGTCTAAATAATCATAGAAAGTACATTTATCTCAGAGAGTCACATTGGTACTTGTCAGGTTTCGAACCTACATCCTCATGCATGAGAAGCGGCTCCTTAACCTCCGGGCTACCACGACCTGTTTTTTTATTATTGGAGATAATTATCATATGTCTTCGGGAGAAAGTTTATTGCGGCTGTCTGTTGATATACCGCGTTCCGAAGCAGGAAAAAGAAGAGGGAGTTTTTTTCCACTAAGAGTCAAAAGAGTCCCTCTCACACGCACTACTCACTACACTTTCTCTCACCCATGACAGTAGAAGCCATTTTTGATGATTATCCCCTCCCAAAAATAAAAACCTACAATACGTTCACAGCAGCCAGTTATCAAAACAAAAGGTGTAATGTAGTATACATTTAGAAGTGTAGGAGAGCCAAGCTTCGGCACTAATTGGTCTGCTCGACCAGAGCAATACGACTGCTTTACAGAAAACTGGCGTGAAGCAACCACAGCGTTGTGTTTCACCGTGGGAGCAACTTTACTGGAGGCCCAATCCTTTCCCTTCCCTAATCTCTCACCAATCCCTAAATCTCCAAATTCTAAATCCCAGCCCGTAAATCCTCTGGTGCTACAAGTTTAGTGGCCAAATGCTTACCATCAGGTAATGCTTCAGCAAGTTTGCTGACCTAAATAATAAAAAACTGCTTTCCTAAGACCTCATTGAAGGCTTAAAAATCATGATGTTTTATTATGTTTCCAAGTAAGATATTGTTAACACCAGAACCGACCCCAACCTAGATGGGAATAGGTCAAGAAAATGGAGTAAATTAGTACCTACTACCTATTTAGGCATTCAATGTAGCGACCTCTATTATCAAGCGTTTAGCACAAGGATAATAGGGCTGTTACTTATCAGTGCTATCTAGATCTAATCCGTTGTTTCTTTTCAGGTTAAAATAAGTCTCGATCAACCTTGGTCGACCTTGTAGTGGAGCCAGGTTTTGGCATGAAAGAGTCAGCTCGATCAGAGAGATACTACAACCTCTTTGAAGACTGACTTCAACAAATAACTGTAGATTTCTTTCCAAACATATATAAATTGAAAATATTTTGGGGGGAGGGAGGTGGGAGGATTCATCAAATGAATTCTCTCGGCAAGGTAAGGCGACAGGGACCAGCTACTCTCACACGGTTTCACCCGCTGCTCGGCTCCATTTGATCGTAGCGTATTGTTTCTACGCTACGGCACTCAGGAACATTGTAGCTGTCTATCAACGAAAGAATCTTGCAAATCAAAATAACAGTTTTCACTTATATTAAAGTCGTTCAACGGGCCTATGCGAGTTGGCTTCGGCCCCTCGTACGCCTTACAAAGGTCTGGGATCCTGTGATCCCGTGAAAGGTAACAGACAAACAAAATAATAATTATAATAATATTTATTGCCATAAAACACGGTATAAGAAGTTTCCTAAGATTACCTTACAAGTAACAATTTTTACCTCCTTACAATATTAATATACCTAAATAACTTTCGGAGCAGTCTCAAAATGAAA